TTAGAAAATTTCGCATTGTTTTAAAACCAAAAGAACAGGTTGTTGCTGACTTTTTAGCGTATTATATAAAATTTAATACTTTAATTTACGTTTTAGATTTCTTAATTTGATGAATTCAACCATTAAAACGATCGAAAAAGGTGCTTTCAACGGTTTAAACAACTTAAACGAGCTTAACTTAGAAGAAAACAACTTGGAAATCTTCGATTTAAAACACTTAGACATCGAGGGATTACGAATTCTAAAACTTGGAGGAAATAATTTCACATTCTTCGATAATTCTTTATCGAAATTACCATCCCTTCAATATTTATCGATTCAATTTTGCAACATCACGAGAATATCGAAAGATGTTTTTACGAAAAATAAAAATCTAATTAAAATTGATTTAACTGAAAATTTATTGGTCGACTTAAAACGAGAGGTTTTCGAGAATTTAGGGGTTCTAAAAGAATTGAAATTGGGGGGAAATAATTTTAGCGAAATTCCGTTTTTAGCGCTAAACATTTCTAGTTTAGAAACGTTATCGTTGGATAGAAATAAAATTTCTTCATTCGAAGCGAACAAATTAAACAAACTGGTGAATTTGAAAGATTTAGATTTAAGTGGAAATCGGATTTCTTCAATCTCCGGGTTTGCGTCTTTAAATTTGAGCCAATTAACGTCGGTGGATTTGAGTTCGAATCAATTGGCTGCGTTACCGACGAATTTTTTTCATTTTTCTTTACAATTAAAGCGAATTCATTTGGCTGAAAACCGATTTAGACAAATACCAACTTCCGCTTTATCAGAAACAACTTTACCCAATTTAAATTGGTTAAATTTAACCGGAAATCCTTTGGTGAGAGTCCACGATATTGGGATTACAGGGAAATATCCCGTTTTGGAAGAAATTTACATCACACACACAAATTTAACGATTGTAACCAGTAAAGATTTTGAATCTTTCCCATCTTTACAACACATTTACTTGGGAAATAATAAAATTAGCCGGATTTCTCCTGGTGCTTTTGGAAGCCTCCCAAATTTATTAACATTAGATTTAAGGATAAATGAGTTGGAGTTATTACCGCAAGAAAGATTACAAGGTTTAACTCATTTAAGATTATTAAATTTAACTCAAAACAAATTAAAAGAACTTGAGGAGTTCCCAATTGATTTAAAATCGTTACAAATTCTTGATTTATCTTACAATCACATCGGAAGGATTGGAAAATCGGTTTTTCAACACTTAGATAATTTAGTTGAGCTTTATCTCTTCGGAAATTGGATATCTTCAGTTTCAACGGATGCATTTAAGCCGTTAAAAAAACTAAGGAGTTTGGATTTAAGCAGGAATTATTTGGAAAATATCCCATTGAGTGCTTTTCGCCCTTTGGAAACTCAAATAAGATCTTTAAGAACTGAAGGTGATTAAATAACCAATTAAATAAATTTTTAATAAAGAAAATAAAAAAATTTTTTTTAGAAAACCCTTTATCGTGTAGTTGCGATTCTCACGAATTGTGGGAATGGTTGAGGGATCATCAGAAATTGGTCGACCCGGCTTTGCATTCGTTAAAATGCGAGCATCCCCCCGAATTAAGAGGGAGGGTTTTTTTGAATTTAAAACCGGAGCAGTTTTGTGATCAACCCTTAATTATAAAATTGGCCATTCAGGATATCCAACCTTTCTCGGTTTTAGTTTCCTGGCAAAGTAGGAATCATTCGGGTCTTCATGGATATCAAGTTGTTTATCATTCTATTGATGGACTTGATGAAGTAAGTTTAAATAATACAGTAAAATCTCGATATAAGATTTTGTTCTAAAAATTTTTATAACACGAAAAAGGATAAAATTACTAAAATTTTCATATTTTCGTATTCTTCTCGATATCTATGCATCTGACAGCTAAAGTGCAAGAGAGCAATATTGTTAAGAATAAGATTTGTTGTAACTTTTGTCCTAAAAGGTTTTTTGTAATATGCGCAGATTCCTCACTGTTACCATATACAACTTGAAAAAAACCAAGAATTCACCAAATTTTCATATATTCGTATTTTTCTCGATATCTATGCATCTAAGAGCAAAAAGCTAAGAGAGCAATATTGCTAAGAATAAAATTTGCTACAACTTTTGTTCTATAAGCTTTTTTGTGACATGCTCCGATTCCAGAATAATACCATTAATGAAAAGGACAACAAATCGTCAAATTTTAACATTTTCGAATTCTTCTCGATATCTATGTATCTAAGAACAAAAGTGCAAGAGAGCAATATTGTTAAGAATGAAATTTGTTATAAATTTTGTTGTAAAATTTTTTTTCTAATATGCTTAGATTCACCAGTGTTACCATGTACCACTTGCAAAAAACCAAGAATTCATAAAATTTTCATATATATTCGTATTTTTCTCAATATTTATGCATCAAAGAACAAAAATCTAAAAGAGCAATAATGTTAAGAAGAAATTTTACTACACATTTTGTTTTAAAAGTTCTTTTGTGATATGCTGCGATTCCCGAGTGTTATCATTAACAACTTGAAAAAGTAAAAAATTCGTCAAATTTTCATACTTCCTTATTCTTCTCGATATGTATGCTTCTGAGAGCCAAAGTGCAAGAGAGCAATATTGTTAAGAATAAAATTTGCTACAACTTTTATTCTATAATTTTTTTATGACATGCTCCGATTCCTGAATGATACCATTAATATCTTGAAAAAACAATAAATCGCCAAATTTTCACATTTTCGCATTCTTCTCGATATCTATGTATCTCAGACCAAAGTGCAAGAGAGCAATATTGTTAAGAATAAAATTTGCTACAACTTTTGGTCTATAAGTTTTTTTATGATATGTTCCGATTCCTGAATGATATCATTAATATCTTGAAAAAACAATAAATTGACAAATTTTACATTTTCGCATTCTTCTCGATATCTATGTATCTCAGAACAAAAGTGCAAGGGAGCAATATTGTTAAGAATAAGATTTGATGCAACTTTTGTTCTAAAAGTTTTTTTGTAATATGCTCAGATTTCCCACTGTTACCATGTACCACTTGCAAAAAACCAAGAATTCATCAAATTTTCATATATTCGTATTTTTCTCGATATCTATGCATCTAAGAGCAAAAATCAAAGAGAGCAATATTGTTAAGAATAAATTTTGCTACAACTTTTGTTTTAAAAGTTTTTTTGTGACATACTCCGTTTCCCGAATGATACCATTAGTATCTTGAAAAAACAATAAATCGCCTAATTTACACATTTTCGCATTCTTCTCGATATCTATGTATCTCAGAACAAAAGTGCAATGGAGCAATATTGTTAAGAATGAGATTTGGTACAACTTTTGTTCTAAAAGTTTTTTTGTAATATGCTCAGATTCCCCACTGTTACCATACACAACTTCAAAAAAACCAAAAATTCATCAAATTTTCATATATTCGTATTTTTCTCGATATCTATGCATCCAAGAGCAAAAATCTAAGAGAGCAATATTGTTAAGAATAAATTTTGCTACAACTTTTGTTTTAAAAGTTTTTTGTGACATGCTCCGTTTCCCGAATGATANAACTTGCAAACAACAAGGAATTCATAAAATTTTCATATATTCGTATTTTTCTCGATATCTATGCATCTAAGAGCAAAAATCTAAGAGAGCAATATTGCTAAGAATAAGATTTGCTACAACTTTTGTTCTAAAAGTTTTTTAATGACATACTCCAATTCCCGAGTGTTACCATTAACAACTTGAAAAAGTAAAAAATTCGTCAAATTTTCATATTTTTGTATTCTTCTCGCTATATATGACTCTGAGAGCTAAAGTGCAAGAGAGCAATATTGTTAAGAATAAGATTTGATACAACTGGCATTCTAAAAGTTTTTTTTGTAATATGCACAGATTCCCCACTGTTATACCATATACAACTTGCAAAAAACCAAGAATTCACCAAATTTTCATATTTTTGTATTCTTCTCGATGTCTATGTATCTCAGGACAAAAGTGCAAGAGAGCAATATTGTTAAGAGCAAAATTTATTACAGCTTTTACTCTATAAGTTTTTTTGTGACATGCTCCGATTCCAGAATGATACCATTAATAACTTGACGAAATAACAAATTGTCAAATTTTTACATTTTCGTATTCTTCTCGATATCTATGTATCTCAGAACAAAAGTGCAAGAGAGTAATATTGTTAAGAATAAGATTTGTTACAACTTTTGTTCTAAAAGTTTTTTTGTAATATGCTCAGATTCCCCACTGTTACCATATACAACTTGCAAAAAAATTAAGAATTCACCAAATTTTCATATATTTGTATTTTTCTCGATATCTATGCATTGAAGAGCAAAAATCTAAGAGAGCAATATTGTTAAGAACGAAATTTGCTACAGCTTTTATTCTATAAGTTTTTTTGTGACATGCTCCGATTCCAGAATGATACCATTAATAACATGAAAAAACAACAAATCGTCAAATTTTCATATTTTTGTATTCTTCTCGATGTCTATGTATCTCAGGACAAAAGTGCAAGAGAGCAATATTGTTAAGAATAAGATTTGTTACAATTTTTGTTCTAAAAGGTTTTTTGTAATATGCTCAGATTCCCTAGTGTTACCATCTATAACTTGCAAAAAACAAAGAATTCATCAAATTTTCATATATTCGTATTTTTCTCGATATCTATTAATCTAAGAGCAAAAATTTAAGAGAGCAATATTGTTAAGAATAAATTTTGCTACAACTTTTGTTTTAAAAATTTTTTTGTGACATGCTCCGATTTCCGAATGATACCATTAATAACATGAAAAAACAACAAATCATCAAATTTTCATATTCTCCTCGATATCTATGTATCTCAGAACAAAAGTGCAAGAGAGCAATATTGTTAAGAATAGGATATGTTACAACTTTTGTTCTAAAAGCTTTTTTGTAATATGCTCAGATTTTCCAGTGTCACCATCTACAACTTGCAAAAAACAAAGTATTCATAAAATGTTCATATATTCGTATTTTTCTCGGTATGTATGCATCTATGAGCAAAAGTCTAACAGAGCAATATTGTTAAGAATAAATTTTGCTACAACTTTTGTTTTAAAAATTTTTTTGTGAGATGTTTCGATTCCCGAATGATACCATTAATAACATGACAAAACAACAAAAACGTAACATTTTTACATTTTCGTATTCTTGTCGATATCTATGTATCTCAGAACAAAAGTGCAAGAGAGCAATATTATTAAGAATAAGATTTGTCACAACTTTTGTTCTAAGAGTTTTTCTGCATCATGCTCAGATTCCCTACTGTTACCATATACAACTTGCAAAAAACCAAGAATTCATCAAATTTTTCTATATTCGTATTTTTCTCTATATCTATGCGTTTAAGGGAAAAAATCTAAGAGAGCAATATTGTTAAGTATAAATTTTGCTACAGCTTTTGTTCTATATGTTTTTGTATGACATGCTCCGATTCCCTAATGATACCATTAATAACTTAACAAAACAATAAAAAAGTAAAATTTTCACATTTTCGAATTCTTCCATATTTTTCATATTCCTTCGATATCTATGTATCTCAGCACAAAAGTGCAAGAGGGCAATATTATTAAGAATAAAATTTGTTACAACTTTTGTTCTAAAAGTTTTTTTGTGATATGTTCACATTCTCCAGTGTTACCATCTACAACTTGCAAAAATCAAAGAATTCATACAATTTTCATATATTTGTATTTTTCTCGACATCAATGCATCTAAGAGCAATNGAATGATATCATTAATATCTTGAAAAAACAATAAATTGACAAATTTTACATTTTCGCATTCTTCTCGATATCTATGTATCTCAGAACAAAAGTGCAAGGGAGCAATATTGTTAAGAATAAGATTTGATGCAACTTTTGTTCTAAAAGTTTTTTTGTAATATGCTCAGATTTCCCACTGTTACCATGTACCACTTGCAAAAAACCAAGAATTCATCAAATTTTCATATATTCGTATTTTTCTCGATATCTATGCATCTAAGAGCAAAAATCAAAGAGAGCAATATTGTTAAGAATAAATTTTGCTACAACTTTTGTTTTAAAAGTTTTTTTGTGACATACTCCGTTTCCCGAATGATACCATTAGTATCTTGAAAAAACAATAAATCGCCTAATTTACACATTTTCGCATTCTTCTCGATATCTATGTATCTCAGAACAAAAGTGCAATGGAGCAATATTGTTAAGAATGAGATTTGGTACAACTTTTGTTCTAAAAGTTTTTTTGTAATATGCTCAGATTCCCCACTGTTACCATACACAACTTCAAAAAAAACAAAAATTCATCAAATTTTCATATATTCGTATTTTTCTCGATATCTATGCATCCAAGAGCAAAAATCTAAGAGAGCAATATTGTTAAGAATAAATTTTGCTACAACTTTTGTTTTAAAAGTTTTTTGTGACATGCTCCGTTTCCCGAATGATACCATTAGTATCTTGAAAAAACAATAAATCGCCAAATTTACACATTTTCGCATTCTTCTCGATATTTATGTATCTTAGAACAAAAGTGCAAGGGAGCAATATTGTTAAGAATAAATTTTGCTACATCTTTTGTTTTAAAAGTTTTTTTGTGACATGCTCCGTTTCCCGAATGATACCATTAGTATCTTGAAAAAACAATAAATCGCCAAATTTACACATTTTCGCATTCTTCTCGATATTTATGTATCTTAGAACAAAAGTGCAAGGGAGCAATATTGTTAAGAATAAATTTTGCTACATCTTTTGTTTTAAAAGTTTTTTTGTGACATGCTCCGTTTCCCGAATGATATCATTAATATCTTGAAAAAACAATAAATTGCCAAATTTTACAGTTTCGCATTCTTCTCGATATCTATGTATCTCAGAACAAAAGTGCAAGAGAGCAATATTGTTAAGAATAAAATTTGCTACAACTTATGGTATATAATTTTTTTATGATATGTTCCGATTCCTGAATGATACCATTAATATCTTGAAAAAACAATAAATCGCCAAATTTTAACATTTTCGCATTCTTCTCGATATCTATGTATCTTAGAACAAAAGTGCAAGAAAGCTATATTGTTAAGAATAAGATTTGATACAACTTTTGTTCTAAAAGTTTTTTTGTAATATGCTCAGACTCCCCACTGTTACCATACACAACTTCAAAAAAACAAGAATTCATCAAATTTTCATATTCGTATTTTTCTCGATATCTATGTATCTAAGAGCAAAAATCTAAGATAGCAATATTGTTAAGAATAAAATTTATTACACGTTTTGTTTTAAAAGTTTTTTTATGACATGCTCCGATTTCCGAATGATACCATTCATAACTTGAAAAAACAAAAAATCGCCAAATTTTCACATTTTTGTATACTTCTCGATATCTCAGAACAAAAGTGCAAGGGAGCATTGTTGTTAAGAATAAGATTTGGTACAACTTTCGTTCTAAAAGATTTTTTGTAATATGCTCAGATTCCCCAGTGTTACCATCTACAACTTGCAAAAAACAAGAAGTAAACAATTCGTCAAATTTTCATATTTCCTTATTCTTCTCGATATGTATGCATCTGAGAGCCAAAGTACAAGAGAGCAATATTGTTAAGAATAAAATTTGTTACAACTTTTGTTCTAAAAGTTTTTTTGTGATATGTTCACATTCTCCAGTGTTACCATCTACAACTTGCAAAAATCAAAGAATTCATACAATTTTCATATATTTGTATTTTTCTCGACATCAATGCATCTAAGAGCAATAATCTAAGAGAGCAATTTTGTTAAGAATAAAATTTGCAACAACTTTTGTTGTATAAGTTTTTTTATGACATGTTCCGATTCCCGAATGTTACCATTAATAACTTGAAAAAGCATCAAATTTGTCAAATTTTTATATTTTCGTATTTTTCTCGATATCTATTTATCTCAGAACAAAAGTGCATTACAAAAGTACCATTAATAACGTGAAAAAGCATCAAATTTGTCAAATTTTTATATTTTCGTATTTCTCTCGATATCTATTTATCTCAGGACAAAAGTGCAAGAGATCAATATTGTTAAGAATAAAATTTGTTACAACTTTTGTTCTAAAAGTTTTTTTATGACATGCTGTGATTCCCGAGTGTTACCATTAATATCTTCTCGCTATTTATGCATCTGATAGTAAAATAATAGCTGCCTACCCATATGTGACGTCACGAACGTGCCTTTTTTTCTATAACGGATACTCTCTTCCCCGTATTAATCCGTTATATCGAGGTTTTATTATATTTATTAATTTTAAATGTAATTTTTTAGATTCGCGGAAAAATGTTAGATCGTTTTTCGAGGGCAACAAAATTATCACGATTAATTCCCGGCACCAGATACTTGATTTGCGTATTAGCCCTCGGCAACTGGCTATCGCAACTCCCGGAAGTCTTCGGAAATCGTCCAGGAACAACCCATCGAGATTCTAGCAGTAGTTCTAGTAATAGTTGGGGGGAAACCTTCACCGAAGCGATGCTCCCTCTACTCGTCGACTCGCAAACGAGTAAATGCACCGAAGTCACCACTCTTGGTCATCCGGGGAGCAGCATTTCCGGTAGTCTGGGTAGTGGTGTACCCGACGACGACGACATCGACGACTCTGACCGTTCCTTGGGGACACAGTCGATTCTAACTCGTAGATTGGGTTTGATAATCGGATGTTGTATGGGTTTCGTTGTGTTCGTCGTCTTGGTCTCGGTACTCGGCTACTTGAAAGTGAAGAAGCAACGGGCTGCGGTGAAGAGAGACCCACCAATGCCACCGGAATATATTTCGTATCGTCACTTTAGTATACAAAGTGGGGAAACTCACGGTGGTGGCCATCCGCATTTCATAACGAGCATGAATACCACTAGTTTAAATTGAATTTTAGAGAAGTGGGGAGTTCGAGTTATAAGTTAACAATGGGGAAATTGGAGTTTTGTGAAGGGTCATTATTGGATCATATCACTAATGGGTAAAAAAGAATAACAGAAATAAATGTAATAGAAACATGGGCGAACAAAGAATGAAAGAAAGAAAAGATTTTTTAATAAATTAAAAAACGGATTTCTTTTAGGTAGAAACAAAACATGTGCACGATTTTTCTTTTTTGCGATTCAAAACATGAAATAAAAAATGATAATAATAAAAAATAATAATAAAAATGATAACAAAAGATCTTTTCTTTGATAACCTAATCTAATTTCAGTTCATGGATTTTAAAACATAATCAGGTAAGTAAATAATTATATTTTTGAGCTGTAGTTAAAGAAAATAATTTTCTCCAAAATTATTATGAATTAAGAAACGAAACTTTTTGAGGTTATAAAGAAGCCTTTGAGGTTATGTTATACCAAATTATAAGTTTCCAGGGTGGTTACTTTATTTTAAATCCGTTTTCAAAATTGTCGATTTAATTTGACATTTGTTGACGATGCAGATAAAGAAAATAATTTTCTCCAAAATTGTTATGAATTAAGAAACGAAACTTTTTGAGGTTATAAAGGAACGTTTGGGGTTGTGTTATACCAAATTATAAGTTTCTAGGGTGGCTACTTTATTTTAAATCCATTTTCAAAATCGTCGATTTAATTTGACATTTGTTGACGATGCAGATAAAGAAAATAATTTTCTCCAAAATTGTTACGAATTACGAAACGAAACTTTTTGAAGTTATAAAAAAATGTTTGAGGTTGTGTTATACAAAATTATGAGTTTCCAGGGTGGCTACTTTATTTTATATCCATTTTCAAAATCGTCGATTTTAATTTTGCTGACAATGCAGTTAAAGAAAATATTTTCTGCGAGACGCACAGAAGCGAATTAGTTAAAAATCTTGGTCAAAAACATATATTTTTGTCATTTTTTTACTTTAAAATTGATTGAAATTAAAAAATATCTATACAATTAACGAGAATGAAGTATTTTATGATATATTATGACTTTATTTAATTGTATTTACCTATATTTTTATATACAGGATGGTCCGTTACTAATGGGACACAGAGGAACGGTGAATTCCTGACATTAAATTGTTGCGATTTAACCCAATTTATGTTAGTCCTATTGTTAATAATAACGAAAATACAGATGATTAAAGTTAATGCTTTATTTTCGCTTTTCTTTAAATATTTCGTTTTCTCTTGCATTATGACCATGAAAATTAGTACATTACTATTTTTAAGACGATAAACAATAATTTGGCATTAGTTTTGATTTATCTTTCAGATAGCATTGCCTGCCTTAAAAACTCCTTTAAAGTAGGCATATCTTTTTCATCGTTAAAATTTTTGCAACTCACACAACTTGAAACAGTTTCTCAGATTTTTTTAACATAAATTTGGTATGCCTACCAATCTTCTCCAAAGTTCTCCGTTTCCAAGATAATCACTGTTTAAGGGCACTTTGCTAAATTTAAACATTAGTTGGCGTTGAAAATGATTTTATTTTTTTAAACACTAGACTAACAGTGTCAATTGGCATTAATACTAGAGTATTGGCATTAATACTAGAGTATTAATGCTAATTGACGGTGAAAATTATTAAAGAAAAACGAAAATAAAGTATAAACTTTACCCATCTGTATCTTCGTTATTATTAACAAGTGGACTAATTGTAAGATAAATTGGGTTAAATCGTAATAATTTAATGTAAGAAATTCACTGTTGCTCTGTGTCCCATTAGTAACGGACCGGCCTGTATAAGACTTATGGATAATAATTTTCAAGGAAAAAATAAATTGAATTGACACAATAACAACTTTTAATATTTTACAAAAACTCAGTGTGTCAATTCAATTTTTTAATTTCTATCTAGAAAATATATATTATTATATTATATATTATATTAACTTTAGAACGCTAACATATCATACTAAAATTAATTAGTGTTTCAGAAAGTAAATTGTAATTTTGGTTAGAAACTTGTTTGTTTATTTTCTAACTGCAAATGCGTTCCCCAAACAAACAGCACATAGCAGAATTATGATTTTTTTTCTAAACTTTATACACACACTATAATAAAAATTTATTTTAAGGTAAAACCGCAAAATACCGCAAGAATTTCTAGCGAAATCTACAATAGTAGGCCTTATACTACAACATGTATACACTATTACTTTTGAACAATGTGAATCAATTTATTTAGAAATGAAACTTTTTGTTTATAAAGAAACGTTTGAAGTTGGGTTCCTCGCTGTTAGATACTTCAGCAGCTCATTGGGGATGTTGAGAACTCTCTGTAGTTCTTGAGCAGAAGGCACTGAAAATGTTATGTATAGGCTAGTTCAAATTCGATGTCCGAATAGGCTATCTCGGAAACTATAAGAGTTAGAGAAAAAGTAGCTTACATGTCATGATCTCGTTTTTCGAGAAACTGCTAATACCAAAAACTTCAAAGCGCAATCGTCTTTTGTTTTTCCCCTAGAGGCCAAAATTGAAAATATCTAATATCTAATAATAACTATCTTGGTTATTATTATAGGTGGAGTATTATAATTAAGATATTATATGGACACTTTTTTACAGATAATTTCTTGACGTAGTCAAACAAAATTTTCGGTTTTAAATTTTGAGATATCATGACAATTTTCGTTTTTTTAAATGGAAACAACCACTGATTATTCGCTTATTAAATTCGTTATTTATTTATTTATCTATTTTTTATTGTTTTAGAATAAAGCTAAAAATAAACTTTTTTTTAGTATCGTCAAAGAAATTAAATTTACAGTTTCCTGTAAATTACGGTACTATAACTAAAAATTATTCTACTAAAAATTTATATAAAATTTACTTCATTTTCTAATATGTAACATTCTAACATGTTAAACTTTTCGTAATTTTCGTAATCCATCTTAAAAAACAGGATTTTTAATTTGACATTTCAGAAAATTTTTGAATACAAACAAATTGTGCTATGTTTATTTGAATTAAAAAATAAAAAAAATATATATGAGCGCCATCTTTCAATAATTTATTAAGTCATTTAATAATAATAAAAAAAATATAATAATAAAAAAGTAAAAATAATAAAAAATATTAATAAAAAATGTGAAATAATGTAATCTATTCCAACTTTTGTGTAAAACAAATATAAATTAAATAGCTCAACAAATGTATTTGTTGCAAATATCAGAAATATGTTTTAATTTTTAGTTATAATTTACAGGAAACTGTAAATTTAATTTCTTTGACGACACTAAAAAAAAAGTTTATTTTTAGCTTTATATAACCATATAATGCCCATATAATGTAATAATAATAATAAACAAGTTTATTGTTCCAAAAAATCAATATACATGTTATTGAACGTACAAAAATTACATATACAGGATGATTCAAAAAACCGCTGACAGACTGATAGGGCAGGTAATACATCAAAAATTAAGATGAAAAGTCTTAATATATATATGTGGTCGCAAATGCCTCCTTAACGAGATATAGCGGGTCAAAGTTTTTGATTGGAATTTAACAAATTTTCTACAAACGTGTTTTTCTTAAAAACTATTGCTTTGATCAAAGTTTTATAAGAGACCAATTGATAGATAATTGATCACTTTACACGAAAATACTGCCCGTTTGACAAAATTAGCAATGGCGTGGACAATATTTTTAAAAAAGGGCTTTTTATTGCAGATAATGTTTAATTTTAAAGAAACTTTGACCCGCTATATCTCGTTAAGGAGGCATTTGCGACTCAATGTATATTAAGACTATTCATCTTAATTGTTCATGTATTATCTACTCTAGAAGTCTGTCAGCGGTTTTTTGAATCACCCTGTATAAATTTATGAACAAAAGATGATGTTCGATAGTCTCTCATCGTTCTTCCACAATCACCCCCTTAAAAATAATAAACATAAACATAGACAAAACAGAAAAGAACACGAAAAAAAAAAGAGATAAGAAAACATGAACAAGAGAGAATTTATTCGCAAATACGGCAGAGCTGAGGTATTAATATCATCGGTAACTCTGAAAGGTGCATTGAGCCGAAAACAAGGCAGCCCTATATCAACGTTTAAGTGTTGCGACGGACGTACACAGTCCTACAGATCCAGAAATCTCGTTAACCAGTTTTGAAATTTGGTAAGTGTATCATTTTTAAAAAAATTGACGTTTGTGAATGGGTGGTGTGAGAGTTCCCTTAAATCTCATATTGAGGGTTTGCACGTCCGTACTGTATGTCGTGGTTATAATACTCCACCTACAATAATAATCAAGATAATTGCACTTGTTGGTTTTACGATATTTTCAATTTTGGCCTCTAGGGGAAAAACAAAAGACGATAGCGCTTTGAGTTTTCGGAATTAGCAATTTCTCCAAAAACGAGATTATGACATGTAAGCTACTTTTTTCTAACTCTTATAGTTTCCGAGTTAGCCTATTCGGACATCGAATTTGAACCACCCTGTACAGAAAGTACATAACCATTTTTTTCTGTATAAAGATCTTGAATAAAGTGATCAGTTCTCATCAATATATAACGAAATAAATTAATTTAAAACACAAGCAATCTGATCCTAAATGTGTATTTCTTATAAAGATTCTTGTGATTCCTAAAACTTGATTCTAAAAGAAAGAAGTAACGGAAATGTTAAATTTAAATCGTTTAATTACTTAATCTGTTTGTAACAGAAGTGAAACATTTAACATTTTCACTTTATTTTTCGTTTATAAAGAAACCGTAGTCGTACTCATTAAAATTTTCTTCTCCTTCGACTTTCGGATTACTTAGGTCCTCGTTAATTTTTAAAACGTAATTCCGCGAACTCGAAAAACGCAAACTTTGTATTCGTTCTCCATCTATTTATGAAAGTTTAATTAAATGCTCGCCGAAGGGAAACGTTTGCGGGCCATTTGAATTACAAACGGTTTCTAAATGCGACAAGTTACAGCACAATTTGCTAAAGTTTACTCTAAGCTAAATATTTTTACGACATCAAAATTTATTAATGAATTACAATCTCATTTACAGTATAATACAAAAAGTTTGTGTACAAACCCCTCTTAATCCGTCAAAATCT